ATTATTATTACTTATTTTACCTATTCTAGTCTTAAATAACTGAAAAAGATCCATACTTTACTAATTTTAGTTACTTTTATAATAATAAAGAATAAAAAGAAAAACAAGAAATAAAGTACTTACCCAATCTCAGTTTTTTCTTGCCCTCGGTTGTCGAGTAGAGTTAAGCCTAATTTTTGTTTTTAGCGATTATGGTAAAGCACTTAACAATTTTTATTTATTTTAGTAATATATCAAAGAATATAGACTAATAACATGCAAAAAGTAGACAAATTCGTTCACTTCTATAAATTGTCCTGGCTTTCTAACTATGCGACAAAGCCATTACAAATTCATCCAAGCTAGTTGTTAACTTTCCCATGGGAACAAAATTGCTACTCCGAGTGACACTGATGGTTATCTGTTCAAAACACCATTTGATAGATGAAAACCTTGACTTTCTATTGGTTATAAATAATATATAATGAAACGTAAGAGAGAACTATCAACCAATTGTGAAAGGAAGGATGTGACAGGTGGGTGTGGCAGGAGGAGTCTGATTTTCTCTTTGATAGCTCTGTAACAAAACAAAATTGAAGGCCATAAAAATTATGGTCTGTTTAAGCAATAACGATTTTATAGAGCATTTTACGTTTAATTTTGTACATTTTTCGAGGGGTGATGGATAAAATAGAGATTATGACATGCTAAGACAAAATTTGTCATGTGTGTTACACTAGTGGAAATTCAGGATTTTTTTTATATATTCTCTTTTAGAATTAAGAACTTACAACATGTATACTATTAAAATATTGATTATTAACTAAGATTTTATGCTAATGTAATTGGTATAACATAAACAAAAAGTAGTTTAATAAAATTTTGAATGTAAGACACTAAAACCTTGTGTCATGCGCAGTAAAAGGTACCCATGCTGATAAAGTTAACAGTTTTTTCTGGACTAGCTATAATTATGAGCTTAATTTATATACTATTTATAGAAAAAATGTTCAGAATGCTTTTTTTATGTCTGATTACTACAGGGCTAGATAAACAGTTTGATTTAAATATAATTTAGTGTATTCATAAAATTTTTATGAAATTATATGAAAATTAGCTTTATACTAGAATGAAAATGTACAACTTTTGTTTTTTTAAATCTTTTAAAATCATAATCAAACAGACATATAGTTATATTTTCAACCCTATTATGACCTTTCAAGTGTCAAGTGCACACCTGTCAGATTTCAAAAATTAAATATAATAATATTTATAACTGTATTTCAACCATTTTTAGCTCAATTGTATATTAGAATTGATATTTTATAACAGTTAATTAGTGTAATTTAGAAAGAGAAATGAAAAAATGCAGCTTCAAGGTATCTTATAACCAACACTTATCAATTTTTTCAAAATTTTTCTGTCCATTCAAAAGAATATGCCAAGAGATTATTCCATGAGTATCTAACTCTCCATATTTTGTTTTGAAAATTATTTTTCTGTCTCTTACACTGATTTTATTGTACAGCCATTTATTAAAGTATGTGGTCCAAACAACTGTTTGTCAAAACCTTGTCGAAACGTTGTACGTTTGCTGTTATGTTAAACTTATATTAAAGTTTTTCTTCATTACCCATTCAAGCTGTTTCCAAGCATTATTAGTCTCAAAGTGGGTTCCTCGTCATAGAATTTGAAACTGCTAATAAAGCTTAACTTCGAAAATATTTAAAGTCAAAATTTAAATACCTCCGGATGGAGCAGAAAAACTATTTACATCAACCTAAAATTAGTATAATAGCATAAGAAGTAATTTATGGTTTTGTATTAAAGTGACAAAGTAGATCTTGTAGGGATGAACAATGGCATATAACTCTCTCACTATGGATAGGTTAGTTTGCATGCTGTGATGTTTTAGAGAGATACATTCAACATATAATTAAGCTACTTTATTATCCTTGTTCATGAATAAACTTGGCATCCAAATATAATTAATAAATTTTAATATTATATAAGTTTTCATAATCTGATAAGGAAATGTTTAAACCAATCCTCCATCTCCCCTAGTATGAGAATTGTGATATTTGCTCTGTAGGTCTTCCCTCTTTACTTTATTTAGCACCTCTCTGAGAAGTATGGAATTTAATGTAAGTTATTCATTGTAATGTAGATATTACTAAAGCAAAATATAATTTTCAGACTTCAATCTTACTTGTTTATGGAGCCATAAACTAAAAAATCTTACCCACCTGTAATATCTTCTCTTTCACAAATTGCCATAGTTCTCTCTGATGTTTTATACTGTATTATTTATAACCAATATAAAGCTACAGTTTTGTTCTATCAAATCATATATTAAGTTGTTTTCCATAAAGAATATTGTTTATTTTGCCTCCAGTTTCAAAATTTCTCTCAAGGTATTCACATCAACAAGCTTAACTAAATTTTTAAACGCTCTTATTGCATAGTTAGAAAGTCAGATAAATTATGATAG